TCCCTCCCTCCCTCCCTCCCTCCCTCCCTTCTCTTTTCAGCACATCCTACTCTCCCATCCACTCACCCATACACGAGCTCCTTTCGCTGCTTGATTGAGTGACCTGGGTAGTCAGGCCTTGTTGATGTTCACACCTAAGAGGGGGCATGGACGTAGCTATTTGGTTCCGTCACTACGCAGGACTGGTAGATGAGCCGAATGGGTGGCATGGTATCGAGTGAATAAAGGTGTGAGCTGGAATTTCACCGAGTATGGAACTCGAGTGGTCAGGTGAATCCGACGCATGGGAGATAGTCGAAGCATTATAGGAGGGATTGTGACTACCCGTGTGTCTGAGTAGTCAACTTTCTGCCTGAGTGCTAATGTGCTTGCGTTCATACTACCTCTACCATTGTACCGTATTTTACCTGACAATCACTAATTGTGGAAAGTAAAATGTGTTTCATTTTGCTGGGGCGTTCTGTAAAACGAAGTTTTTATTGTTTTAACCTTTGTCTTTAAGAATGAACCCATCACTTTGGTCACGAAGAGAAGTGAATCTTCCCCAGTTGCTCTAGCAAAAGCCATCCATAATAACGATGTTGCCAAGGTTCAATACTTACTTCGGAGGGGTGTAAGTCTATGTTTATCTCCTTGATCATGGTAAGACAGCTAATTAAGTGCCCTACTTGGCTATCATCTTTTAATTCTATCTTAGAGGGACATGATCCTGTGCTTTGTTGCAAGCAATAGTGTACTCACAGCAAAAGAACTTGATAGTTAGCAAGTTCTTTCATAAGTTTGAAGACATTTTTCCGTAGGCCAACCCTAATGTGTTTGGAGAAGATGATTCCACGACTCCACTCATAGAGGCTGCCATTCGAGGTTATGCGGACGTTATGGAAATACTTTTGCTGCATGGTGCATCGCCCTCCTTAACTGACATGTCCTACAATACCGCGCTCCATTGGGCGATAGCCAACTGTCATATGGATTGCGTTGTGCTGCTTTTGGACTTCGGAAGCGCCCTTGAAACGCCGAATGAAAGACTCCGTACTCCCTTGATGCAGGCCGCTTTCTACGGTCACAGCAAGATTGCCCGTTATCTCATCGATCGTGGCGCTCAGACAGACCGGTCACTTAATCCAAAGGATGAGTCGGCACTGACGATTGCATGTGAAAGGGTTTGTGAGCTTTGCATTGCTTGAAATACCTGTCATCCCGTACCATTCCACCTGAAGATGACCAATTTTATTGAGACATAAATCATTCCCCTACACCTCCACATAGGGTGATATTGAGACCGCGAAGATCCTCCTCCAGGCCGGGGAATCCAGCAATAACCGGGGCAAGGAATTGCACATAGCTCTTGCAAAGGCTGCTCAGAATGGTTACCTTGAATTGGTCAAACTCCTACTTGACGGTGGAGCTGACGTCAACGGCTGCGAAGATAGCATCGAAGCACCCATTTTTGCGGCTGTAAGGAGCGACAATTTGGCCATTTTGGGGCTCCTTGCTGATCATCACGTCAACATCAATGTTCGCAACGAGGATGGCTACACACCACTCATGGTGGCTGTTATGACTGGTTCTCTATCTGTACTTGCCGCCCTACTTAACTCCGGTAAGTAAAACAATGCTTTTAATTTTCCTTTTATGCCGATCTCACTGGAAATTGACAACTTTAGAGGTTCTTCTAACACTTTAAAATCATTTTTACTCAACATCAAATGCAGCGGCCAATTTAGCCGATCATGGAGAAGTCACTACTTCATTATGGATAGCTTAGCAAATCCCAACATTGTTGTTTACTTTGCGAATATTTGATCCCATTTGTTGTCATTGTTTAGGAGCTGAAATCGACACCTTATCACTTAAAGAGAATGAATCAGCTTTAACGATGGCAACGAGACTCAATCAGATGAGTGCGCAAGAACTAATAATGAGAGCTTTAGAAAGTAGGTTACGTTTTGAGTAGAACGCTGTTATGTAACATCCGAATTATACCTATCCCATTCCATTGCTTTTAAATCACTGCTTTTCAATCATGCCATTTGTTGACTTCTACAACCCTCACCACTAAAAATTAAAGAAATATCGATAGCTCAAAAGTTGAATAATTAGTAAAAATTAGGCAAACGTACCAGGTAGTGCACTTAGGTTGCGAATCTATCCATCAAGTCGTACACAATGGTAGAACTCAAAAAAGGTAATCCTTGTTCATCTCAAGAATATGGTGAGCATAGCGGCTGATATCAGACAATCAATATTTTGCCCCATCCATAGATAGTCAAAGTCAACAAGCCAAAATACGCTTATAATTTGGCAATTGTTCGCAAAAAGTGGAAGAAAATTTGGAGGAGGCACCTTGACGGAACATACCAGACAGGAATGCGGAATGCGAATAATGCTGACGTTGCGCCATTCCTTCAAAGATTGGAAAGTCTCGTAGTCCTAGCAACGCTAAACCACACCATCAG